ACCTTAACTTGCACTATGGGTATTCTACTTCACATTAAAACAAACTTTCTGTGGATTGCAATTATTATATTTTTTAAATACATTTCCTCCTGAGGTCACTTTTTTCTGGAGATATTTAAGCACTGTGCGTTGTAGAATTGGCCTACAAGACTGAAACTTTAGATGTCATCAATCCTAATGGGGTTCAATTCACCCTGAAAGTTTGAATCAATTCAAGGGAACGGTTCAAAAGTTGACCCTCCCAGGCCATGTCCCCCCTTAAGCTAATAGGTTTTGGCATCACGCCGAAAGGGGGAATCCAGAAAGGGTGGACTGTCGCTTTGTGTCCATGCTGAAGTGTGCTTTGTACATCTACTTTAAACTAAGCAAAAAAAAAAGTGCCGCGTGAGGATTTGAAATAGCCCAAAAATAGCCACATAGCCAACCGCCAAATTTCGATGCTAAATGCATGGCCAAAATAGCCCAATTTGGCTATTAATAGTCCAACCTGGCAACCCTGACCTCGATTCCCGCCGCGCCAGAGTATTTCCGTGTTGCGCCGGAGCCCTTCGCCCGATTCCCGCGGCGCCCTTCGCCCCCTTCGCCCGCGCTGTCGTGACTCCTAACTAGTGCCGGTCGCTTCAACTTCAGGAGATAACGGCCGTCCGCGGCGACTGGGCGCTTGCCATGTCCTTTGCATATTTTTTTGAAATTTGCCTAAAATGGGGGGTGGGCGGTTGATGTGTCCCCTGTTTGTTTTTGAAATCATTCAAAAATAGGGGGTGGGCCCTTAATGTGACATGGGCCCATGCTCGGTATTTTACGGTAGGCCAATTTTCTTGAAACACCCTGTATAGTTCTAGAGTTATGAATCTCTTTACATTCAAACTAAGTTATGGGCTCATGCCCTTTCTTCTGATTTCTGCTTACCGTATTTACCCGAAAATAGGTCGACCATGAAAATAGGTCGACCCCTATTTATTGAGCCCACCGAGAATAAAAAAAAATAATTCAAATATAGGTCGACCTTTCTTTCTTTTTTTTTTTTTTTTTAAGGAACAGGGGAAAGTTAGGGCAAAAGAAACAAACCTTTATTTAATTTACAGCACTCTCAGCTAAATCACAGGGCGATGTCAAAAAAGCTTCGTCAGCTTGGTAGACATTTTCGCAAATCGGCAACAATACCTCACTGACAGCGTTGTAAAAGGAATGACGACAAGAAGAAACGAAAGAAGGTGGAGACGGGCGAGCGACGAAAGATCAAACACAAAGACACGAGCAACGCTGCGAGCCCCGTGAGTAACACGCGACCCGCCGAAAAAAACAAACTAAAGTAGCTCCGTTTTTTTTTTTGTTTGTTTGTTTTTGTTTGCGCGTTTACGCGGGAGAGAGGAATGGAGCGCATAGGAGGGCAAAGTGCAAAGTGCATGGCGCATCGCGTTTTTCTCCCTCCCCTTCCCCCTTGCCCAGCGAGGGGAACGCTACAGGCGTGACGGCGAAACTCGATGCCCGAGGAATGTGCGCAAGAGCCGTAGCGGACACGGGCTGTCGGCTGCTGCTGTTCGGTTGTTTTTGTGCATCAAAAGCTTTTTGAAACAAGAAGCCGCGCGGCTCTACCGCGACGCCGGCTAGGTGATTGATAGCTCCATACCCTCGGTAGGGTTTCAAATTTTGGTTGCGAATTAGGTCGAAATTCGTTGGTCACGATTATAGGTCGACCCTTAAGTTTTGACAACATTTCCGAAAAAAAAGGTCGACCTATATTCGAATAAATACGGTACTTGTCACTACTAGCGTGTTTATGGTTATGCATAGTTTTTATGACTTGTTTTGTAATTCCCTTCGTGCGTTACTTTGCTCGTCCAGTATACACTGGGAAAATTGTCTATGTTTCAGATCACACGTCAGCAGCTAGATGGATGGAAGATGCACATCCAAGTCCTTCATTGGATGAACCCACTGCCCCTGGTGAACGTTCACTTCTTGCTTCACCGGGAGGATAAGCAGTTAACATCATTTTTGCTCAAGTTGTCCTGCTAAAGGAGTACTAGAGTGTCCGTTAAATACTTTTACCTTAACCTCGCAGGGGAACTTTATTTGTACAAAACACGCATGCTTTCTCATTTCCTGCAGCATCAACTACTACACTGCTCTATTCCTCTTTTCTTGCCATAAATTAATTTTTTTAGTCATTCTCTTGTGTATTTACTAGTGTCTACTTTGCAACATCTTATTTATGAAGTTCTTTTCGACTCTCTTTGCAAGCTTCATTTTCTTAATTCACGCTTGCAGACTACTAATTATTTATTTCCAGATAATTATATTGTACATACAGTTGTTGTACAAATTTAGTAACCAGTGGATACTTGAGAAAATACATAGCATCATAGTACTTCAGAATGTTCTACAACATTCTGCATGAACGCTTTATTGACAGCTCCAGTCCTTGCCGAGGCTAGCACACAGAAAAAAAGAACAAGTGTTTTATATAAACAAGCTGTTTCTTAAGTTTCAGATGTCACCATGGGATTGGGTGCCCCTGTTGCCATTTCGACAGCTTCAGCCACAGGTAACCAGTTCTTATTTCTTCAGGATGATTAGCGATCAGCTCAAGTTCAGTCTCCTAATTCATCTGTCTCATTATTGTACAAGAAATCAGGATGAAAAGAACATATTTTTCAGGTTCTACTGGGGTGGCCAAAAGCAAGACGAAAACGTCGTTTGCTGTCTTCCGCTGACAGTGGCTGCCAGGCAACAACCCGCATCTACTGATGGTAATATTATAATTAAGAGAAAAACTGCCTTTACCTGGAAAGTACTAAGACTGTCATAAGGAAAATATAAAATGATTGCTCGTAGAAATTTTGTTGAAACATTCCATAGCTCATAATTTTTTTCTGTTTCTTATATAGTTAACGAACCTGGGCAAAACTCTTTTAAAAGTTTGCATACTCAATGCTCAAAAAGATCTCGTGAGATAATTTCACTAATGTTTCTTATACAGTTGTCGCTGATTACAACGGGCCAAAGAATGCACCACCGTTCAGCACCTTGGAGAATGGCAGAGTCAGTTCATTTCAGCCTTTCATTCAGTTTACCTTTTGAAATGTTCCTTTACGTTTGGTCTCTTTTGTAGTTCCATCTCAAAAGAGGAGTTACCATCTTTTGAGACTCAAAGGAAAGCTATTTATGCAAACAAAAAGGCAGCAAAGACGGCTAAAGACACCGCACAAGATCTCTGGGGCTCGAAAAAGCTCAATGAAAAAAACCTACGGGGGAAGGCTGGCCCCAAAGGACCGCAAAAATCGGGATGCTACTGCCCGCAAGGAGCTCACCCCAGAAAAGGTCTCCCTTGTCTTTGGTAAGTGAGTTAAGAACTAGATTGTGTCATTACTTGATACTAACATTTGTTTTTGCTTTACTATTTTCAGAAACGTCGGCACACTGGGGTCGGACAAAGAACGTAGACGTGTCAAGTACGGTAGCAAACATGAATACTGTATTGTCGGAAAAAATACGGGACACCCGAAAGGCTTTCAAGCGCAGGGCTCTTCTGCAAGTGTAAAACGGCTCACATGGCGTCTGGCCTAGCTAGGAAATAAACTATATTTTACTACTGCCAATTCTTTACATTCTCATTATCTGCATATGGTTGAACTGGTTTTCACGGTTACATATGATGCTACTGAACTATGGACAAGGGACTGTTCCTGGCTCCAAAGTGGTACCATTCCCAAAGTGGTCCCATTTCCGAAGTGTTCCCACTTCCGGAGTGGCCCCACTTCCAAAGTGGTCTCACTTACAAAGTAGTCCCAGTATCATAAACTGCTTTAAAGTGGTCCCACTTTGAATTTCCACCTGGGATTCACACAGGAGCATGTTCTTACGTTACATTGTGATACAAATGTGAGCCAATGGGACATCCTTGCTTCGTATGTCATGAGTAAAGGCCCGTTCACACTCTTACGACCTCTTAAAACTGGGTTCCTTAAAACTTTTTATAACCAGAGGACACACTGGCACCACCTATTAGGTAGCAGTGGAAACTTGGCAGTCCGGCATATTTTCTATTTCTCTTGCGCATTATCCTTTCTTTCTTGGCTCGAAAAACTTTTCTCAACGTTATAAACGAGCCTTTCTTATAGGCATTACACACATTTGACCTCAGAAATCCCACAAAACCTTCGCTCTTGTGAAACGCAGTTCCAGGGTCACCGCATAGATAGCGCCAGAATGCCAGTGTGTTCCCTCGTCGTAAGAAATTTTAAGAAGTTTTAACAGATCTCGTCTCTCTCGGTCGTACTCAGTCCCAAGAGTGTGAACGGGCCTTAAAGCTACTCACTGACTCAACTGCCACGCGTGATTGGAGCACAGATGTACTTGTGGCCATAGCTCGTTCCAACTACTAGTGTAAACAAAGCATAGAAAGCTTACCTTTTGTGCTAAATCAAAGCTTTTTAACAACAAAAACTGTTCAGCACTTCAGCACTTCTTAAATATGCTACAACTCATGTATACGGTCCAAGCTAAAGGTATTCAAGCATTTGAGTGCACCCAACATTTCAGCATCACTTTACAGTGCATATGCAAGGATTTTGATCATGCCACCTGTGTTACTCAAAGCGAGCTGTGCTGCCTGTGTCTGGTGCTGACCTTTCTTAAAATTTTTCCCGAGTCCTCAAAAGCAGCTACGGCAGTTTACAGGAAGTATAAAAAAACCTCTTCGACAAACAACGGCAATCGAGCAGAAAACGTGCCCTTCAGCACACAGTCACCCAGCCTTTACCAAGTTTCATGCAGCCGACTGTGTGATGTGAAAAGATGGCCGATCGGAAACTTCCAGTGGCCACATTTGTGGCGCAGTGACTCAGTGGCAATGCTCAATCCAGCAAGTTGTTATAAAGATCAGTGGTTATCTCCCACTTTACAGCAACAAAATCTTTTGAGGGCTGGGGTGAAGTTTAATGCATCCCACCAAAACATTGCTTTTGGCCATTCTCAAATGCACAGGAAGGACTCACCGAATGGTTCACAAAATGCGAGACGTTGCCGCATTTGCCAGCATCCACGGTGTAGAAGTTGTCGTCGCTATCGTCGTAGTCCAGATCAAAAAGGTATGTAATACCCTGTGCATCGTAGGTCCGGCCACGCCGCTCTGCTTCCTCGTTTGTAATCACCTGTAAGCGAAGCTGAATGTTAACCGGCCTCTAGCAGTCACTTATCTGGGGAAAGGGAGTTGTATGAAGGAAATAGGAGATGGCTTATCATCAGTAAAAATTGATACACTAGTCTAGACAAAGAAGGAAAGCCCAGAGCAAAGTAACAGCTGGGAAAACAACCTAAATTTTCAGTACCAAATCCCATCCCCCTCTTCAAACTGCTGTCTTGAGCTGCCAGGGAAAGCTACGCTGCCTGAAACCAGCATTCCTTAAAACTCTGCCTCGTCGTATACCGTATTTACTCGCAGAATGAACGCACTTTTTTTCTCGAAAAATCGATGCAAAGTTAGGGGGGGCGTTCATTACGCGAAGTAAAGTTTTTGCGTCTGTATTTACTCGCCTAATGAACGGACCTTTTATCCTGAAAAATAGAAGTAACTTATTATTTCTTTGCGCGAAGCGCCCGACCCCGTAACCAAACTAAGCTGTGCAAAAGAAAAAAAAAACTCCTTTTTTTTTTTTTTTCCTAGTTCCTTGTCTTTTTTCTTTTTTGCCGCCTTCCGCAAGCTCTCTTGTTTGCTTAGGCGTTGCTTAGGCGAGGGCCCTCCGCTTATCTTTCTTACCTCTTTGCGCGCTGCGCACGACCCCCCCCCCCCCCCCCCCCCCCCCCCCCCCGTAACCAAACTGCGCTGTGCAAAAAGAAAAAAAAAAAGCTAATCTTTCTCTTTTTTTTTTCAGTTCCGTGTTTTTTGTTTTGTTTTTTTCTTTTTGCCGCCTTTCGCAAGTTGTTTCGTTTGCTTAGAGGACTTCTCCGCTCCTCTTTCTTACCTCCTTGCGCGCAGCGCGCGATCCCCCGTAACCAAACCGCGCTGTGCAAAAAAAAAAAAAAAAAAAAAAATCCTTTTTGTTTTTTGTTTTTTTCTTAGTTCCCTGGGTTTTTTTTTTTTTTTTGCCGACTTTCGCAAGCTGTTTCGTTCGCTTAGAGCGCTTCTCTTACCTCCTTGCGCGCGGCGGCGCGCGAACCAAAAGTCCAGACTGCGCCGTGCAAAAAAAAAAAAAAAAAAAAAAAGCTCCTCTCTATGTTCTTTTTTCTTGCTTCCGTTGGATCTTTTCGAATTTTTTTAACGCCTTTTGCAAGGCGTTTTGTTCGCCTACGCTGCCCATGCATTCGCGACTTCGCTGCATCAGGATAGAAAAGTGCGTTCATTTCGCGCGCGTGGGGGGAGGGGGTCAAAATTTTGACATCCGAGTTGGGGGTGCGTTTATTACGCGAGTGAAAAAAAAAGTCGAAATTTTGAGAGCCGACTTGGGGGGTGCGTTCATTACGCGAGTGCGTTCATTGTGCGAGTAAATACGGTATGTCTTTAAAGACAAAAATACACACAAAAAGCATGCATATGCTATGACGCCAGATAGACTGAGTTAGACTCGCAAATAATAGCAATCTTGGCTTGGTCTCATGTTTAGAAAATCTTCTGGGTTAGCGCGTAGTTTGACCAGTGTCTCCACAGGTCCCGGCTAGGCCTAGAAATTGCGGCCGCTAGTTTCCTTAGAAGCCTGCTTCCAGACTGATGAGCACGTGGCACGTCGGGTGATCTGTGTTCAAGTGTAATGCATTTTTTGCAAAGCTAGGCAATAACAAAATGCGGATTTAGCTCACCCAACTGGTTTCTGTCAGCTTCGTTAAAACAGGGCTTGACTGTAGTTGGGCAAGAGTTATGGAAATGGTTTGAGTTTGTTGCGACATAGAAGATATTCGCGACTCCAGCGACCAATAGGGGGTGCCACCACCAAACAAACATGGCGGCTGGGTCCAGGTCGTGTCGGCTCGGCCGGGCCGCCTGAACGGGTGGTGCATTCAATTTAACAGATTTCCTTTTATGCAATGCCCAATTTTATAGGTATTTGAACTGAGACGGGTAAGTGTAGCCGGTGCGCATAAACTTGCAGAGCATTTGTTTTCCCGGTGTTTTTGTTCTTTTCATGTCAAACTTTCGTTTCGGAGAGTCCGTTCAAAACCGAAACTTTGGACTCCGGAGAGACGGTAATAGACTCTAATCAGTTTTGATCAGCTAAGGAAAGCAGTGATGACTACAGAATTGTTCCAGCGAGAGTAATTTTCAGCTAACTCACTTGCCTCGACCATGCTACTTATCTGTACGCGAAATTGAGCTTTTATGCATATCCGCGTTTAAGAAACAGCTCCAGTCGTCTGCTCTGTCAACAACACAGGCTGCAGAAAAATTACGAAAATTAGGCAAGCGCTTCTTGAGCCAAGGAGCATGTTAACCCGCTGGCGCCCCACTAAGCAGCTGATACTTGTATTTTAATTCAGGCTTTAGCAACAATCGAGAAGTATTTTGGCGAGCGGGTTATGTATTATATTACGTGTTATGGTCCCACTAAAGCAATATTTGTATATTCTTCGTGTTGAAATATGAGCTTAGTTGACTAGCTATTAGGTGAAGTGCTGAATAAAAGTATATTTGACAGACAGAGATCTACTACTTAGTCAAATGGTTCTAGCCGGTAGCACGGAGACGAATGCATACAAACTGAAGAGAGTCTTCACCGGAGATCTACACAGAACCTCTCTGCATTGAACTTGACTTCAAATCCTGAACGAAAAAACTTAAGTATTTTTGTAGCCAGACAACTTGAGCAATGTAGACGTATATTGCTGCTGGCTTCGACGGGGCTATAGACCTTTTCCGCTTACTCTCGCCCCCGACCGCCAAGTAGGCATATCCGGTATGGGCGATGAAAAAATATTAAAACGTTTCAACCTGCAAGTAGTAAAAAAATAGACGGGAGAGAAAACGAGAATGGGCGACGGTTACGCTTTTCTGCTAAATGCATTCTATTGGCGTGGCGATGGAAAAACAATGTTTTCACCCACACTGGAAGTGACGACAATTCAAGATGGCGGCACCCTTGAAGAAAGGGTCTATAATATAAATATTGGAGGCGCGATAGATGATAATGCCGTGACAGCTTCTAACTTTGCGAGACGCGCCCCCACCTTTGAAAGCAGATAATTTCTCTCATTAATCATATGCAGCGAGCAGGTTTTCCTGAAACAAGTAATTGCAAAATAAGCCCAACTCTTTCAGTGTGCTCCAGAGAAGCCAAGATGAATAACCAATGCACCGACCGGCGTGGGTGGCTCAAACTTGAAGCTAATCGAACACAACCAAACTCAAGAAAAGCAGCTATCGAACGTTCCCATTCCTTTGACTGCAACATTGGTGTTCCCTCCAGTGAAACACATCGTCTGTCGTCCTCAGTCCACTGTTCTACATCCTTATAAAGAAACCACTCATCAGTTGCCAAGTAGTCGTCCCTTTGAATGGGATTCGAGACAGACAATAAACCAAAGCGTTTTTCCGTGATTCCTCCCCATCCGGGAAACCGAAAGCATGCGACCGTGTGTTGTAGAGTAAACAGGCTTACAAGCACGTAATGGAAGGAAACAATCTACCGAGTCTTCACCACACTAGTGAACACTCAGGCAAACTTAAGAAATTTTCGGACCTTCGTCAAATTACATTGTTCGCCTCCTGCGCCGACAACACATGTCCGCGATCGCGAAAGCCACCAGAGACGCGGAGAGGCGCAGAGCGACCTGGTCCAGCTGGTTCCCGGTTTTCCCGCTTGGTGGCAGCCGTTTTGCTGGAGTCGCGAATATAACTTGGCACAGATCTTTTCTTGTGTTTACAGTAGACCCATTTTGAAATTTTGTTTGCGGTTGTAATATGCTTGCAAATTTGAATTATATTTTACCAAATGGCAAGAATGTCAGAACCAAGAAAATATATTATACTTTGTTAGCAATGTTCAGGCACTTAAAAGCACAAGGTTATAGCTTCCTAAAGTGGTCTTGACATATAAACACACTTTGCACTCAAAGATTTCACAGAAAGATGGAGAAAACCTAGGGTCACAATAATTCAGGCTCGGATATTTCGTACTTCCCATTATGTCAAGCAAATTTTAAAAATTTTGGTTGTCCCACTATATTTTCAATCTGTACATAAGATTAATTCGTTTGGCGCTTTCGTGTAATTGATACTTTTATGTTCTCATATACGACAAGGCAGAATGTTAAGGAATGCTGGTTTCGGGCAGTGTGACTTTTCCTGGCAGCTGAAGACAGTGACTTGAAGAGGAGGATGGGATTTGGCACTTAAACTAAAGCACGGTTCACTGTGAAGAAACAACACCAGCGGAGTTAAGGGGGGACATAAGCCTAAATTTTAAATTTTTCCGAAAAAATTCATTTTTTAATTTTGAGGTTTTCAGTTTTAGAAACTAATTATACACCCTTACACCAAATTTGATGATCATACGCCAAATAGTTACGTTGATATAAAATATTTTCAACACATTGTGAGGCAGTAACAAAGTAAAGGAGTTCAATGTTTGAATGCATTTTTCTCAGTTCCACTTTTTGCTGCAAATTTCATACGAAGGAATCTTTTGTTCGAAGGTGAAAGTATTCTGTTACCACAATCAAGATGTTTCTTAACTGAAATTTACTCAGGAATCGGGCTATCTACTTTATTTTGTTTTAAGTTGAAGTCCTCAGTGAGAAAAAACTAAGTTTCCAAAAATTGACAGATGACAGATATGCATCTCATAGTTTGAGGTAATAACTCTTCCTGAAATATTTACATTTAAGTTATTAAAACTAGATAGCCCGAGGTCCCATATCCCCCACTTTATATTCCAGCAGTCAAAATGGTGCGTAATAGCTTGATTTGCATATCATAGATTTCTTAATGAAAAGTGACACATCATCTTATGCAGGTATGTAAATTTGTCCTAGAGAGCTGAAAGTTTGCACAGTACACCTACATCTGAAGATAAATCTCCCCTGCAAATTTCATTCCAATCACTTGAGTAGTTCAAAAGTTTGACCTCTAGCCAGTGTCCCCCCTTAATTTCCACAGGTGTTGCTTCTCTGCAGTGCATTGGTGCTCCGTAAGAAGTGTGCTTAAGTCCACAATGAACAACTTGTTTACTAGATGAAGAAGCTTAATTTTGTTTCGAGGTGTCATGCGCTGTCTAACAGGCAATGGTAGACAACATTTTTGAGAGATGAATAAACATTTCTCATACATTTCACCAATGTCTCACGTGTGGCACACCTGCTTATGATTAGTAGGCCTGTGCAGAGGAAATCGTCAAATGTCTGCCTTGCTTGTGTAGCCATCCATATAACAAATCATAACTTTATCTTGAATCATATTTAGATGAATTTCTGATAATTCAAACAAAATTTGTGGCTTCCTGGAGCTTGAAGTAATGAGTGTACTGTAGCAAATGTCTCCATGACTAAAAGAGAGAAATGGTACTAGACTCAGGGGAGCGTACGGAAAGTTAAACACGTGATCTCACATATTCATTAACTGCAGCTCACCTCTCCGAAGTACTCAAACAAGAATGCGCCCTTCTTGATCCTCCTCTCAGTCCGAACACCCCATCCACGCTTGTTGGTTGTCCGGAATATCGTCAGAGGCACCTGAGAAGGAAGCAAACAAAAACTTTCAGCCTTTCCACTCTGGTGAAGAAGGAAGACCAGCAAAGCTGTACTATGATGGGACGACCTCAAGGATGCAACCTCAAGGACAACGCCTAGAGGACGACATCAAGGATGACCTCAAGGACGTCTACGACGACCTCGAGAACAACCTCAGGGACGATGTCTAAGACGACCTCAAGGACGACGCCTAGGACGACCTGAGGGACGACGTCGAGGACGATTTTAAGGACGGCCTCAAAGACGACTTCTAGGACAACCTCAAGGATGACTTCTAGGATGACCTCGAGAACAACGTCTAGGACGATTTAAGGACGACTTCCAGGACAACCTTTAGGACGACTTCCAGGACAACCTTTAGGACGACCTCAAGGACGACTTTAGGACAACCTTTAGGACGACCTTAAGGATGACTTCTAGGACGACCTCGAGGACAATGTCTAGGACGACTTTTAGGATGACCTCAAAGATGACTTCTTGGATGACCACGAGGACAACTTCTCAAACAACCTCAAGGACGACGTCTAGGACGACCTAGAGGACAACATTTAGGATGATGCCTAGATAAATTCAGCCTTTCCACTCTGGTGAAAACCAGAATGGAAAGGCTGGAAAGGTTGCCGCCATCTATGAGCAAGGCCGGCAAGCTGGTTGCCGCCGTCGCTCATAGATGCCGGTAGCTGTCCAGACTTTTGTGTCGACATTTGTTTGGTACCGAACACGATTCTCGGGAATCTAGCCCTTAACAGCTCCGCGGTAAAATCATTAGTATGGCTGTGCAAATACTGTATTTAAATTTTCCAAGACAAAATATAATGCAAAAAACTGGCTTTCAAGAATCAAATCGAATCTGCACACAATAAAAAACAGTCAAGATATTTGGCAAAGTTGCATATTTTTAAACCTGTTGTTATGTGCGCTGCAAACAGGGCTGCGCATATTGAGCTTGTAAGCGACTTGATGATTCAAACTTTCATTAGTAAAACATATAAAATAGCGCAACAGAAAGACAAGGACAAGAAGTATACAGGACAGGCGCTGTCCTGTATACTTCTTGTCCTTCTGTTGCGCTATTTTATATGTTTTACTAAGATGAACCAACTAGCCCAACAACGTACCCTACCAAACTTTCATTCTAGCTTTCAGGCAATTTATTTCTTGGAGAGGAATGTCATGTAATAATGACAGACAATGCAACAACATTCGAACGAGCAAACTGTGAGCTGACTGGACTATGTAACTGTGTACGCGGTGAGGAAGTCACTGCCATGTCCACGTCTCTTTGAGTTGAGTGGTCCTTTATTGGTAAAAAAGCCGCAATCGAGGCCATACTCAACTCCCGACCTTTGACATCTGTCTATTAGGAGGTTTCAAAACCATCACCTCTCATTCTGGCAAACGTCAATATAAGAAAGCGACTGACAATGCTGCCCCACAGCAAACATGCTATCATTGTAAATTCAAACTCTGCTGACATTCAAAGGTGGAAGAACAGGCAGAAAGTAACTGATGACTTTGGTAGAGATTGAATAGGGAATACTTTAAGAAACTATTTTCTGCTGACCATTGTCGCCCTAACCTGTCACACAGTGTAAAGGAGGGTGATTTTGTTTTGGTGCATGAACATTTGCTACCCCGACAGTATTGGAAAATGGTTCGGATTGCACAAACGTTCCCAGGGCGTGACGGCAAGGTGAGGTCTCACTGTACAAGATTACCATACGGTAAAGTTATCTATCGACCTATTCAGCTCTTGTACCCACTAGAATCTTTGAATAAATGAGCAGAAAACTGTTCATTGAGGGGGGCGATGTTTGTTGTATATCTTTGGAATAGCCTGCTTACCCAGTTGTAAGCAGGGAAGAAGCCTTTTTTTTGTCATGAGAAAAGGTACAAAACAGACAGACGAGAACGAAGCATAACGGTTACCAAGGGTTCACCATTGAACTTCCCATCTTTATGTGAATATTGTACATAAACCTTTTCTTATCGTTCTCAATTACAACCTTATACACACATCGAACATTGGAATCCATAAGATTCCAATATCAAATATTGGGTGGTCATTGACACCCAGTTGGATAAAATAAAAACTACTTCTAACAGATTTCCAATAAGCTTCCACTATTGACAAGTAATGGGTAATCATTAGCATCCCATTGTATAATTTGGATATCATTTCAAATAAAATGCCAATGAGCTTGCAATCTTGTCGAATATTGAGCAGTCATTGGCACCCAACTGGATAATTTGAAGCCACTTACAATGGAGTGATAATAAGCTTCCAATGCTGGAAAATACTGGGTAGTTATTGACATGGGAAAAAATGGATACCACTTCCAATCAGGTGCCAATAGGATCCAATGTTGTAAATATTGGGCAATCATTGGCATCCCATCAGATAAATTAGATAATAATACTTCTAATGAACTTCTAATAGGCTTCCAGTATCGACCAATATTGGGCAATCATTGGGACCCCATTGGATATCAGATAAAGTGCCAATTGGCTTCCAATGTAGCCCAATATTGGGTATTCATTGGCACCTCACTGGATATATTGGAAAACACTTCCAATGAAGTGCCAGTAAGCTTCCAATGTTGCCAAATATTAAGTGGTCATTGGCATCCAAAATTATCATTAACACCATAGAAGATGTTAATTTGTACCACTCAGGTTAGTCACCCAAAATATCACCTTCTGCCACACTAACAAGTTTTATTTAAATCATTCAATTGAAAAATAAATGACAATCGCTTGCTTGTGCTAGAGAGCCTTGCAAAGACTAAGGTCCGGTCACAACTGTGCAGCCTTTTTTTGAGCAAAACTTTGAAATTGCGAGACGTTCTCAAAGTATTGAGCGCATACTAATGAAGTGTTTCACCTAAAACAGAGAACGGTGCATTAAAACAAACAGAACAATTAGTGCAATCTGTGCCAGTGCAAGCATTTGTTAAATTATCCTAATTAATGAAATTCGTAGTCTCAAATCCATATGGCAGGTTAAACAGAAAGACTATATTCCTATTTTTTGCTAAATCTTAAAACTCGTTAGCACCCATGATTTTACAAGCCAAGCCACACAAGCGAGTCAAAGATTCTGCATTCCAATGTTACCAAATATTTTCAAACTTGACGGCTGGTTTTAACGCTGAAAATTTGCCGTGCTTAATTTTTAGTGATTTTTTCTGCATAAATATCATTTAACGTGACAGAGTGACACTCTTTCAGGGCACTTCTTTTGACATGAAAGCAATCTCCACGTTGTTTGTTTTCAGGAGGGTGCTCCAAGGTAACGCTAATCCCCTGACCTTGAGCGAGGCCCATTGTGGTGCCTTAACCTTTTTATACTTCGTTCGTCCTTAAGCTCACAGTGCAGTAGAAGTTTTGTGCTCGTCGGCCCAGTAACACGTCTATCTTTTGCCACATAACCACGCCCTTGTTCATACCCACTTGCAGAGAAAGGGGAGGTGATGAAAGTGGTTGATTGGTACAGGTGAACTCATAGCTCTTACCACGCTGTCAGCTTAGGGGTGAATGAAGTATCAAGAGTTTTTCAAAGTCCCCAAAAAAAGAGGCAAAGAGAAAAAGAATGCAGACCGCAGAATGAGAAGAAAGAAACTTTTATCTTCAGTTTCTGCATGAAACGTAAAGCAACATACGCTACGAGCCACATTAGCCATTCCAGTGCTTTGCGAGAGTGACACGTGACTTCACACTACGCACGTCGCTCCGCACTACCGAAAGGACTCGTGACACCTTCTGAACATTGGATTGGCTGTGATGGGTCGTAGTGTCCATTGCGGAGGTGAAGACCCTCCCTGCCTTTGAGAGAGGTATGCACACCGTAGAAGCTGTGTTTGGGGGTAAGTTGCATATTTTGCGTCAATCAGCACTACTGTCAAGGCTGCTGTGTTGAGTGTCTCTCTAGACTAATTCTAGCACGCTGTGTGCTCTATTGTTATAACTTTGTATGGAGAAGTGGATTACCAGCTGAGACGTGTTCTTCAAGAAAAGTGACTGCGATACCTTTGAGAAGGCTGACGTTGGCATGTTTCTCAGGTTGGTGAATTTATTCTGCCAATAGAGTTCCAGTGAAGTTTAATTATTCACCTAAAATATCACAAATCCTGTTTTGCCTAATATTGTGATACTAATACCTTTAAAATTTGCTAACAATTTATGATTGTGTCGAACAAATAAACAACTTGTTGCAACATTTTAGTTCTCTACAGCTGTAATTTGTTGACTTTACTAACTGTTAAATTGGAGAATTGTTTGGTTTCAGCTGGGGAGAGTCAGCTGAAACAAAGTGTTTGCACTCGTGACATACATAATCACAATTAATTTGCCTACGAACAATTTATACTTTGAAGGAGGGCTCATACAATGGTAAGTGTTCTTCCTCCCCACCCTTAGGGAAACAATGCAATGCCAGACAGGCAAAAAATTAATAGTGCAAGTGACCAATAGAGCAGGAAAAGGCAGGTACAAATGCAACATGGCAACTTTACCCTCTTCACTTCTGCTACCTTTTCCTCTGCTGAGGCACCCCTTCAGTAGGGGGAGCGATGCCATGCAAGACAAGGAGACATATATAGTGAAGGTGGCCAAAGAAACATAGAGCACAGTTGCAAATCTGAAAAGGGCAACTCTACCCTTTTCACTTGTGCTACCTTTCCACTCTACTGGGGCACCCCTTTAACCTTCACGTTTAGGGGAAGTGAGGCCACACAACACAAGAAGGCATAGTGTAGGTGGCCAATGGAATACATAGAGTGAAGTTGCAAATCTAGACAGGGCAACTCTAGCCTCCCCACTTGCAGAAACTTCTCTGCTCCACTGAGGCACCTCTTCCACCTCCACTCTTAGGGGGAGCAATGCCACTCAAGACAAGGATACATAGCACAGGTGGTCAAAGGAAAAAATAAAGTGCAGTTGCAAACCTGGAAAGGGAAACTTTACCCTCTCCTCTTGTGCTA